AGGAATCAACACCGCCTAGTAAGTCATGGCTTGAGGCATTAAACAAAGGGAGACAAACTGTCACCATGAAATATTGATTCCTATGTCTACACATTCTCTCTACAAATATGTCTATCTACCCACTTGATATTGACCAATTTCCCAACACATCTACCCAATTTAACGCAATATATATATATATATATATATATATATATATCTGTGTGTGTGCCTCTCTGTGTGTGTGTGTGTGTGCGCGCGCGCGCGCGCACGTGATTATTAATAAGTATTACGTCAATCGACCTGCTAATATGGCTTTGTTTACTTTTCGGATAGGAGACTGAGCAGATGTGAAGATATTTCCGAGAAAATAATCTGTATGAAGAGGATTCGATTTCCTTAAAAAAGAAAGGAAACGAGAACCTTGCTTGCCACGTCGTCATCCGTGGCTGAGCGGGTAAATTACACAGGATCCTATGGTGGTTTCCCCTACAAAGGGGGACGCATATTCAATCACATACTAGGAAGTGACTTTTCCTTTATTAAAATGTTTCAAATACACAGGCTAACACACTTAATACACACTATTTAATGAATAAAAATGTCGGCGTCTATTTCAAATACGAAGTATCCTATACAATAACGTTTGATATATATATATATATATATATACATATATATATATATATATATATATATATATATATATATATATATATATATATATATACATGTGTGTGTGTTTGTGTGTGTGTTTAGATAAAACATAAGTAGGTAGATATTTAAAGATAACATTTTTTTTGAGATTACATGCTAATACACTTAAATTTTGATAAAGAATTATTACATGTATAATTAAATCGCATTTGTCTCTTTGGGGCTTGTGAACCAAATGTTTCAACCTATTTTGTTCTAACGGTTTCAACATTTTGAGAATTCCAATACTCTTAGAACAGCCATTTTCTTTAATCAGTATTTAAATTATTTTGACATTATTGATTCCCTGAAATAATTTGAAAGAAAAAAAAATTAAATTTAAATAAATTTAATTATAAAATTTAATAAAACACAAAGACGATAGTTATAATCCTAACAGAAATCTTATTCAACCGACTCCACCTATTTTTGGTTCAGCCTGATTTTTCCTTCACTAAGCTGTCAGAGCTAGATCAGAGGAGAGATCAGTTGCCAGGCTCTGGTCATCTAGTGTTTTGAAGGTGAACTATAGATGCATCAAAGTATTAGATAAACCAAAATAGAACAATAATATAACTGCAGAATACAAGAGGCATTCTCTCTATTATTCCTGGCTTCCCTTATACTTTTCTTTCCTGTGTATGTAGAAAGTGAGAGATACGAACAATAAATGCATTATTGCTGCCATATTATTAACATGCATACATATTTATGGTTGACTATAAGGTCCCGAGCATACCCATCTGCTAGGGTGGTTAGTTAATCAAGGCTTGGGTCCACCCGTGGGGTATCGTTTTGGGTACTTTACAATGGCGCCGAACGCTTCCTCGGGCCGATAACATCAAGAAAACGGTACCCTGACGAATCGAACCCGGGTCGCGAGGTCGTAAAACGGCTAAACACTCTACCACATGTCCATATATACAAATCTTTGCATCGCGTGAGTTTCAGCGAATTTTATGTCTGTATCTAAGTATAAGATTATTCAGTAAATATGTATAAAAACGTTGCACACAAACATACATACATATATATATATATATATATATATATATATATATATATATAGGAAGACATTTTTATGTTTATATATAAGAATGTATAAACATAAAAATGTCTTAATATATATAAATATTTAAGTAAATGCTCTGTTTATAATAAGCGGTATTAACAACATTTACCGGCTTGAATGTTCGAGAAATTTTCATAGAAAATATGCCCCCTCCGCAAGGAATCGAACATGTACCCTATACAGAACCGTCATCTAGCCTGACGTGCTTTTACCGATTTAGCCACCGAGTCACGCTCGGTTAGCAAGGTCGATTTTACTGCTTTTAAACTACAATCTTTCATCATTCTCTCACGTGCATTCATATCTGCTCGATGCGTATCCAAATGTAAACAAATGACGTCACACATTATGAAATGGACAAAGTCCGACAATTATTTTAAGGTTCGATTCCTGTCAGAGGATCCATATTTTCTATGACAATTTCTCAGATATTCAGGCCGGTAAATGTTGTTTAATACTGTTTGTTATAAACAGAGCATTTACTTAAATATTTGTATCTATAAAAAGAATGTATAAATATAAAAATGCCTTAAAATAATTGTCGGACTTTGTCCATTTCATAATATTAATATATATATATATATATATATATATATATATATATAATCATTTATTCGAAAATTATAACATAAAAATGTTAAAAATAGCCATTTTGCTTCAACCCTTCTGGTGGCATATCAAGTGATGGTGGTTGAATGAAGAATAAAGGGTTTTAAAAAGTTCAAATCAATCAAACACCCCCCCCTCGCTAGGGGAAATGCTGTTACATAAGCTGGAATGCCTCATTAGGAGCGTATAACTTCTTCAATCTCTCAGGCGGTTAATATTCCTGGACTCAAATATGCGGTTCCGCTTTATCCAAGCTAATCTTGTGTTTATAATGCCATTTAAGTCCCTTTATTTGGAGTATATGGGATTGAACGAAACGTCACAGCTGCCTGTTTACTTCTCCAAGAACGGAGTCTGGACTAGAAAGTACTTTCCATGCCAAAAAAGAACGTATAAAAGAGTCTGTTGGTCATAATCAAGGGTGGAACCGTTCTTTTCACAGGATGTGCGAATTATGAATTATAGATTATGACTTCACAGGGTATTAATCTGTGGCTGAGAAGTTATAAATCTTGCAAATGGTGGAAAGAAGAATGCTTTAAGTTGAATGAATAAAAGTGTGGGGAAAAAGAAAAGGAAAGAACTGAAGATTTTTGTTTTTGGTGTCTCCTTTACGCTTTTGGTGTTGGCAACAGAATTGCTTGTAAAAACAATTTAAATGCAACCCGATACATTTTTTGGTTCTTTCTTTTTTTTCTTTTTTTCAAAGGCACTTTGTGTCTGCACCTTATTGTCCTCTCTATTATCAGCAAACACACACACACACACACACACACACACACACACACACACACAAAAAAAAATAACAAAAAGGAAAAAAAAGAATGGTGCCGACAAGCAAAGTTCGAATTTTACTTGAGATTGTTTATATTTTTATCTTCGAACTAATGCTTCTAAAAAAACCGTAAATAAATTTCCTCCTGTTTTATGCCAAATCCAAATTACGACTTATTTTGTTGCGTTTCCTTCACTTTTAGAAAAGGCATGAATCAATTTATCTTCTCCTACTCTTCGTTAAATAGCCTTGGATGGCAGGCAGTCTAGGAGAAAAAAACTACTCTATCGTCCTTCCTAATAATTACTGGTAATTTCGAGATGATAAAAAAAATAATGTGTGGAGAGCCATCCTCGCCTATTTTCTGATGGCGTAAGGTATTAAAAATGCCTGCGTGGTTAATTATGGGAGACGATAGAAATGTTAATGCTATCATTTCCTTATAAGAAAACCTCAGGATATTATTAACCAAGCGGTTATCAGTTGAATTTAATAAATTTATTTAAATAATAATTAACAATTAAATTAAAAAAGTAGTTAATTAACAATAAAAAAATTTAAAATGATAAAATAAAATATATAAAATAAAATTATAAGGTTAAAATTATAAAGAATTAAAAGTAAAATTAAAATTAAAAATATTATTTTTGTCTATATTTCTGAGATGAAGTATTATGTACCTTTTGATAAAAGATCCATTTTCGTCGCCAGTCACAAGTCAATCAAAAGGTGAAACAAGTTGGCGAGAATGGAGAGAAGAGCGAATGTCAACTCAGGATTTGAGGTTTGTTTTCAGACAATTCGAGGCACCCATTTTCCAAGTTTAGGAACTTTTTCCAAGTTGTTGAAGATGACGATGAACAGTTTATGTAGACGAACTGAGAACCACTGCCAATGATAAAAGCAGGATTTTCTTCAAGGGCTGCTTCAAGCTTTTCATCAAACTCAACTGGACGTCAGTTCGATTCTTTCATCTTCAACGGTGAAATCTCCACCTCTGAATTTTGCAAACCATCTTCTGCAAGTTCTTTCATTCACACATTCCTCTCCATAAACTGAGTGAATGTTTCTAACCTCTTCGGCTGCTGAGTTTTCTTTCTTGAACTCATAAAAGCATTATGTGCCTCAAATGATTCTTGGGTACTTCCATGTTACAGGGTTTTAATCAAACAAAATTTAATTTTATTGTTCTCTGAAATAAAATTTGCTCAGTTTAAATGCATCTAAACATAAAAATAATGTTCAGCTCCATTAAACATTATAAAATAGTCTTTAAATTTCGTTCATTTTAACAAAAAGTTAAAATTCGGACAGAACTTATGGGATTACCTGATATATTTATCTTTCATAAAGGAAAAGCAATTGGAATCATAAAAACTCTTGCAAGCACGCGTCATTACGAGGTGTAACTAAAATCACAGGCAATGATTTAGTCAACCCCAAATCAATCATAAATTCTATCCAGACTGTTCTGAAAAACACAAGAACTTTTGCACTTATTCACAATTTGTATAACATTGAATCAACAAGACATTCAGGGGTTACTCAAAAGGAGACACTATTGAAGAAATCATATAAAAATACTTATTCACCATTAGCTAAAATAAAGAAGCATTATTAGTAATTACATTATCCCACAATTAGTAAATTTTTATTCTGTCCTTGTATGCTATAACACGCAACATTATAATTTTAATTAATTTTCTTAATTTAATTTTTTTAATTAAATTTACTTATCTTACAAAATAGATTTCAAATTAAACATTTATTCATTTTTAAAAGCACAAAGAAAATCAAAGAGCACACCGAGGATCAAAAAATAAAAAAATGGTTGAGGCTTATCAGTCCGGGGAAGGTTTTCAGATTTTTTTAAAATAGGCAATGAACAGAAAAAAGAGAAAAGCAGATAGGGAGGGGGGAAAAGAGAGAGGGATAGAGAGTGCTGGAGGGAGAGAGAAGAGAAAGCGAGAAATGAGGCAGAGTGAGAGCTAATAAACAGCAAATCCAGAGAGAGAAGGGAGGAAGGAAGGAGGAAGATGGGGACGAAGAGAATGTGATGGATGGTCGGAGACAGCGCCTAAGGGAGAAAGAGAAGAAGCTTATAGATTTATAGAAATCATATGACTGGAATGGATAATGAATAGAGAGAGAGAGGGGGGGGAGAGATTATGTGAGAGAGAGGAGGGAGAGAGAAAGGGAGAGAAGGATGTCGAGAAAGAACGCTTTGTTTTTTTTCTTCATTGTTGTATGTTTTGCAATGTGCAAATAAATGATGCAATCACAAAAATGCACAATTAATTAGCACATTCTCTGTATGCACATGCATATTTTTTTCGCTTTGCCGTAACGCATCCGTTGGTAAGCGGAGCACAAATGATGACTGATAAGATAGAAATATCTAAGTGAATATTTACCGAGGGAGAATAGCCGGTTCACGTATATAACATGGTTGCCTCAGAAGCATTTACCCGTGACTAGACACTGCTATGCCGAAAGACATGGATTAGTTACTTTGGTATCGTGTAGGAGAGCCTCGAAACCGGCGAAGTGCAACCCGACGCGTCATCGATTCTACATATTCTCGGAAGGTTTCATAGTGAAATAGCGAGCTATGTTATTTTGATAGCTATCTACAGCTCCTTGATATTTGTAGAGGCTGCGTCTTATGTATAAACAGGCCTCCCATGTTATGCAAATATGGTGGTAACATTATTTTTGTTTTTTTGGAAATCTCCAAAATGCTCCCTAAACCAATTCTGATCAACTTGGGCAATCAATGACAGTGTACATTATTCTGATGGAACAATCCATCATTATTAGTGTACATGGAGTCTTTGAATTGGGCACCTCGGCGTGGTAATGGTTGCAAGCTTGACGCTAGATCAGTACTACTGAATCGAAGTTCATTCTCACTGGATGCCCCATACTTTCGGCCTTGTGCCACATCTAAGCTACACTTGGAAAATCTCTACATGGAGTCTTTGAATGGGCATGAAACATGGAAACATCAATCGATGACATGTTTCGGTGAACGAGCCGACCCATACATGCCATATCAACACATTCCATCCACTGTAGAAGCATTACTACTATGTACGTTGGATTGCTACCCACAGGACGTTTTTCTTTTTTTTTTTGTTTACCCAATAGAGGAACGAATAGATAATCAAGATAAATGTTTATTGAGCGAGATTGTTGCATAGATGGAAGAGGCGAAAGTAAGTGCAGACTATGTAGGATAGATAACATTGGCCTTAGACTTAAAGAGGTTAAGAGTGTAGTCATCAGCGAAGCATCCTCTTGGGAGTCTGAATGAGGCTGTTATATGAACGTAAGAGGAGGGGGCAAGAAGGGCAGGGATATGAGGATATGTAACGGGGATAGATAACTAGGGTTGAGGCTCCCTAGACTTAGGAGAACGTAAGAGGAGGAGTGATCAGGGAAGAGTCTAGTGATCAGGGAAGCATCCTGTTGAGTCTGAACTGAGGTTATATGAACGTAAAGAGGAGGAGGTAAGAAAGGAATATTAGGAGGATGTATAACGGCTGACCCGAGACTTAGAGTCTAGTGATCAGGGAAGGCTCCTCTTCGAGTCTGACTGAGGTTATATGAACGTAAGAGGAGGAGGTAAGAAAGGAATATTATGAGGATGTATAACGGCTGAACCGAGACTTGAGAGTCTAATGATCAGGGAAGGCTCTTCGGAGTCTGACTGAGGTTATATGAACGTAAGAGGAGGAGGTAAGAAAGGAATATTATGAGGATATGAGGATGTATAACGGCTGACAGGAGACTTAAGAGTCTAGTGATCAGGGAAGCATCCTGTTGAGTCTGAACTCAGGTTATATGAACGTAAGAGGAGGAGGTAAGAAAGGAATATTATGAGGATATGTAGGCTGACCTAGATAGAGTCTAGTGATCAGGAAGGCTCCCTTCGAGACTGAAGAGTCTAGTGATAAAAGGGAAATAAGGATGTATAATCTGAAGGAGATCTTCTAGTGATCAGGGAAGCATCCTGAGTCTGAATCAGGTTGCATGAACATAAGAGGGAGGAGGTAAGAAGGATATGTAGGATAGGAATATATGAGGATAGGGAAGGGCCTTCGGGAGTCCGGTTGACCCTAGACTTAAGAGTCTAGTGATCAGGGAAGGCTCCTCTTCGGGAGTCTGATCCTGTTGAGTTATATGAACGTAAGAGGAGGAGGTAAGAAAGGAATATTATGAGGATGTATAACGGCTGACTTAAGAGTCTAGTGATCAGACTTAAGAGTCTAGAACGCAAGAGTGATAAAGGGAAGCATCCTCTTCTGAGTCTGACTGAATCAGGTTTAAGGAACGTAAGAGGAGGAGGTAAGAAAGGAATATTATGAGGATGTATAACGGCTGACCCTAGACTTAAGAGTCTAGTGATCAGGGAAGGCCTCTTCGAGTCTGACTGAGGTTATATGAACGTAAGAGGAGGAGGTAAGAAAGGAATATTATGAGGATGTATAACGGCTGGAAGCGAGACTTAAGAGTCTAGTGATCAGGGAAGCTCCTGTTGAGTCTGAATCAAGTTGCATGAACATAAGAGGAGGAGGTAAGAAGTGATATGTAGGATAGATAACGGTTGACACTAGACTTAAGAGTCTAGTGATCAGGGAAGGCTCCTCTTCGGAGTCTGACTGAGGTTATATGAACGTAAGAGGAGGAGGTAAGAAAGGAATATTATGAGGATGTATAACGGCTGAAGCGAGACTTAAGAGTCTAGTGATCAGGGAAGCATCCTGTTGAGTCTGAATCAAGTTGCATGAACATAAGAGGAGGAGGTAAGAAGGGCATATTATGAGGATATGTAGGATATCTAGACTTAAGAGTCTAGTGATCAGGGAAGGCTCCTCTTCGGAGTCAGGGAGGTTAGTGACTGAACGTAAGAGGAGGAGGTAAGAAAGGAATATTATGAGGATGTAACGGCTGGACCTGAGACTTAAGAGTCTAGTGATCAGGGAAGCATCCTGTTGAGTCTGACTCAAGTTATATGAACATAAGAGGAGGAGGTAAGAAAGGAATATTAGAGTCTGAGGATCGAGGATAGATAACGGTTGACCCTAGACTTAAGAGTCTAGTGATCAGGGAAGGCTCCTCTTCGGAGTCTGACTGAGGTTATATGAACGTAAGAGGAGGAGGTAAGAAAGGAATATTATGAGGATGTATAACGGCTGAACCGAGACTTAAGAGTCTAGTGATCAGGGAAGCATCCTGTTGAGTCTGAATCAAGTTGCATGAACATAAGAGGAGGAGGTAAGAAGGGCATATTATGAGGATATGTAGGATAGATAACTTAAGAGTCTAGTTGACCCTAGACTTAAGAGTCTAGTGATCAGAGGAATAACGGCTCCTCTTCGAGTCTGACAGGGAAGGTTATATGAACGTAAGAGGAGGAGGTAAGAAAGGAATATTATGAGGATGTATAACGGACTGAGGTTATATGAAGTAAGAGGAGGAGGAGACTTAAGGAGTCTAGTGATCAGGGAAGCATCCTCTTGAGTCTGACTGAGGTTATATGAACATAAGAGGAGGAGGTAAGAAGGGAATATTATGAGGATGTATAAGGCTGACCTGAGACTTAAGAGTCTAGTGATCAGGAAGGCTCCTCTTCGGAGTCTGACTGAGGTTATATGAACGTAAGAGGAGGAGGTAAGAAAGGAATATTATGAGGATGTATAACGGTGACCGAGACTTAAGAGTCTAGGTGATCAGGGAAGCATCCTGTTGAGTCTGAATCAAGTTGCATGAACATAAGAGGAGGAGGTAAGAAGGGCATATTATGAGGATATGTAGGATAGATAACGGTTGACCTAGACTTAAGAGTCTAGTGATCAGGGAAGGCTCCTCTTCGAGTCTGACTGAGGTTATATGAACTGAGGTAAGAAAGGAATATTATGAGGACGTAAAGGACCTTGAGACTTAGAAGTGATCAGGGAAGGAGGATGTATAAGAGGAGGAGAGAAGGACTATGAGGATATTAGTGATCGGGGAAGTTGCCTCTTCGGAGGACTGTTATATAACGTAAGAGGAGGAGGAGTAAGAAAGGAATATTATGAGGATGTATAACGGCTGACCCGAGACTTAAGAGTCTAGTGATCAGGGAAGGCTCCTCTTCGGAGTCTGACTGAGGTTATATGAACGTAAGAGGAGGAGGTAAGAAAGGAATATTATGAGGATGTATAACGGCTGACCCGAGACTTAAGAGTCTAGTGATCAGGGAAGGCTCCTCTTCGGAGTCTGACTGAGGTTATATGAACGTAAAGAGGAGGAGGTAAGAAAGGAATATTATGAGGATGTATAACGGCTGACCCGAGACTTAAGAGTCTAGTGATCAGGGAAGGCTCCTCTTCGGAGTCTGACTGAGGTTATATGAACGTAAGAGGAGGAGGTAAGAAAGGAATATTATGAGGATGTATAACGGCTGAACCGAGACTTAAGAGTCTAGTGATCAGGGAAGCATCCTCTTCGGAGTCTGACTCTAGTTGATGAACGTAAGAGGAGGAGGTAAGAAAGGAATATTATGAGGAGTCTGACCTGAGAGAGTCTAGTGATCAGGGAAGCATCCTGTTGAGTCTGAACAGGTTGATGAACATAAGAGGAGGAGGTAAGAAAAGGATGAGGATATTGAGGATGTATAACGGCTGACCTGAGACTTAAGAGTCTAGTGATCAGGGAAGGCTCCTCTTCGGAATCTGACTGAGGTTATATGAACGTAAGAGGAGGAGGAGGTAAGAAAGGAATATTATGAGGATGTATAACGGCTGACCCGAGACTTAAGAGTCTAGTGATCAGGAAGGCTCCTCTTCGGAGTCTGACTGAGGTTATATGAACGTAAGAGGAGGAGGTAAGAAAGGAATATTATGAGGATGTATAACGGCTGACCCGAGACTTAAGAGTCTAGTGATCAGGGAAGGCCTCTTCGGAGTCTGACTGAGGTTATATGAACGTAAGAGGAGGAGGTAAGAAAGGAATATTATGAGGATGTATAACGGCTGACCCGAGACTTAAGAGTCTAGTGATCAGGGAAGGCTCCTCTTCGGAGTCTGACTGAGGTTATATGAACGTAAGAGGAGGAGGTAAGAAAGGAATATTATGAGGATGTATAACGGCTGACCCGAGACTTAAGAGTCTAGTGATCAGGGAAGCATCCTGTTGAGTCTGAATCAAGTTGCATGAACATAAGAGGAGGAGGTAAGAAGGGCATATTATGAGGATATGTAGGATAGATAACGGTTGACCCGAGACTTAAGAGTCTAGTGATCAGGGAAGGCTCCTCTTCGGAATCTGACTGAGGTTATATGAACGTAAGAGGAGGAGGAGGTAAGAAAGGAATATTATGAGGATGTATAACGGCTGACCCGAGACTTAAGAGTCTAGTGATCAGGGAAGGCTCCTCTTCGGAGTCTGACTGAGGTTATATGAACGTAAGAGGAGGAGGTAAGAAAGGAATATTATGAGGATGTATAACGGCTGAACCGAGACTTAAGAGTCTAGTGATCAGGGAAGGCTCCTCTTCGGAGTCTGACTGAGGTTATATGAACGTAAGAGGAGGAGGTAAGAAAGGAATATTATGAGGATGTATAACGGCTGACCCGAGACTTAAGAGTCTAGTGATCAGGAAGCATCCTCTTTGAGTCTGACTGAGGTTGGATGAACATAAGAGGAGGAGGTAAGAAAGGGCATATTATGAGGAGGATGATAGATAACGGTTGACCTGAGACTTAAGAGTCTAGTGATCAGGGAAGGCTCCTCTTCGGAATCTGACTGAGGTTATATGAACGTAAAGGAGGAGGAGGTAAGAAAGGAATATTATGAGGATGTATAACGGCTGACCCGAGACTTAAGAGTCTAGTGATCAGGGAAGGCTCCTCTTCGGAGTCTGACTGAGGTTATATGAACGTAAGAGGAGGAGGTAAGAAAGGAATATTATGAGGATGTATAACGGCTGACCCGAGACTTAAGAGTCTAGTGATCAGGGAAGGCTCCTCTTCGGAGTCTGACTGAGGTTATATGAACGTAAGAGGAGGAGGTAAGAAAGGAATATTATGAGGATGTATAGACGAAAAGATGACGGCTGACCCTGAGGAGACTTAAGAGTCTAGTGATCAGGGAAGGCTCCTCTTCGGAGTCTGACTGAGGTTATATGAACGTAAGAGGAGGAGGTAAGAAAGGAATATTATGAGGATGTATAACGGCTGACCCGAGACTTAAGAGTCTAGTGATCATGGGAGCATCCTGTTGAGTCTGAATCAAGTTGCATGAACATAAGAGGAGGAGGTAAGAAGGGCATATTATGAGGATATGTAGGATAGAAAACGTTTGACCCTAGACGAAGAATTTTAAATTTTAGTGATTTAGAAAGCATCCTTTCTAAGGAAGAAACTGTTGGAATAGAACTTCTTCCTTACCAATGGAATACGAAGAGGATGGTTCGCCGTTGTATAAATGGTATGGCGGGTCTTAGCTGCAAAGGTCTGAACTAGTCCGACTAATGCATATAGGTCATCACAATATTCTCCATGAAAACAGTAATAAGGGGCTTATGACGCTGCGCCTGCGGAAAACGGGTTGTCGGCCATTGTGCGCTCCAGCCTTCTTCAGGTGTTTTGAATGTCGAACTGAACCCTTTATTTCGCTCACCGGGGTAGACTGTTCTAGTTCCAGGTACCATATCTAATGGATGTCAGTTATCACTTATCTACTGTTAATTCCCCTTTCCAAGTTCTCCACCGCCTTAACCGTGTATTGAACTCACACTCTTTTGGGTCCTGTCACTGGATCTAACCAACGCCTTTATCCACTGCTCCTCAAGGACATATGGCACAGGGGATAAAATCCCTAGTTAGACTCAGTGACAGGACCCAAAAGAGTGTGAGTTCAATACCTTGTTAAGGCAGTGGTGAACCAAAACTCGGAGTGTTGAATTAAAGGGAAATAACTTAGACATCCGGAAGAGGCATGGTATGTGGACCTAGAACAATCTACCCCGGTGGACGAAATAAAGGGTACGATTCGAAATTCCAATCACCTGAAGAAGGCCGGAGCGTACAATAGCCGAAACGTTGTTAATATGGTAATGAACATCTGGGCAACACTCTGGATAATGTAAAGTTTGAGGAAACAGAATTTTTGTCATTATTCGAGCAATATGGCGTACAAATAAATGTGATATATTAGTAGATGGGGGAGTTCTTTCATTAACATTGGCGTCAATGCTTTTGTTGTTAGGTAAAAGATACCATGTATTTTCCTACAAGTAGTTTTGGCGCAGTATAATCATATTCCGATACATTTTCCATATTATTGGGTTCTTTGCCAACTAAGCTTAGTAAATATCAGTAGTAGCAGTAATAACAATGTCCCTTGAACTAACAAGAGAGTCGAGGATGGAAGACAATAAATCTTTTCTTTTTTTCCTGTTCAGACCACCCGCACTTATCTCTCCGATCACGTGGAACTCTTTCCGTGACAAAAAACCGTGACTAAAGGATTATTTTCACGTATCCTTTATCATAATCGACACAGATTAAGTCTTTTCTTTCCATATACCCGCCCATTTACAGTTTTCTTGACCTATTTTTTTCTTTGGCATTGGAGTATTCGGTTGTCGTGGTAAGAAGGCGTCGTTCTTTTTTTTTTTTTTTTTTCAATTTTAAACTGGTTCAGAGCATCCATCGTCTTTTATCAAGCAAGTCAATCGTTAAGGACAGTTATCATTCTCTTTCTCTTTCTCTCCGTTGGTTTCCTTTAAAGAAAAGAAAAGGAAAGAAAAAAAATTGCTGACATGATTCGACTCGTCAATCACAGGGATGGCACTGTGAATGAGCGCATGCGCATGTACACTTCTACTTTGCTCAGTGGTTTGGACATTTTTCAACGTTATTAAAATATACAGTGGCAGTGTAAAATGTTTGAACACACAGCAATGCGTACGTCCGTTTTATGCATAAATATACATGTGTGGGGAATTGAATGACAAAATCGAAAATATTATCTGTAACGTGTTTCGTTTTTTAAAAACACTTCAGAACATTAAACCGCGTCCTGGGTATGACGATAAATTACATCCGACAGCAAGGTCTCTGATCAGGAGGTTTTGAGGAGCGTGAACCACCTCTTAATTGCTGGTGTTCCCAGGTCCACCTTGACCCGGGGTAGTAGCACCTGTTAGGGTCCCAGATGGGGACAAAGCACTGTAAAAGTTTAAAAATAGGTTTTAATACCAGAAATAAATTTTTGAAAAAAAATATTACCAGAAAAAGTTTTTGAAAATATTACCAGCAATAAAAAAAAAAAAAACAAACTTGTCGGCATTAAATAACCAATTGAGGTTGATATGCCGTAAAACAAACCAAACTAAATCGAAAGATTAAAGAATAATTCTTTGATATTGATAGAATTATAGATATATATGGGGAGATATAAACGAAAATTTGCTATAATTATGTACCGAAAGAAAAAAAAACTTACGTCCGCATCACGTTGAAACATTGGTTCCCGTACGATCACTGAAGCTAAGCAATGTCTAGACTTGTCTGTACCTAGATAGGTGACCGCTTGGGATTACCAGGTGCTGTAAGCTTGGATGTGCGGGTGGTGTATGGGATGATGGTTCGGAATTATTAATCGGATAGCCGAGTTCCAATTCCAGTTAGGTTCGTCATATTCACTTACGCGCAAATACCCTTAGGAAAGGTATGAATGCATATCTTCTCCTCCAGCTATGGGTTAATTAGTAATTCTTGTATAACTAAAACCATTATATAAAATATATATATATAATTGTGTACTAAATATATAGATTTCGGCATTAGATAATCCATAGAGGTGTTGATATGCTGCTAAACAAAATAATCCCAACCAACCGATGCAAATTATTACAGTTTCAATCTGATTTGCGGGTCGAGTATAATTTACGGACGTTCTTTTTATCTGATAACTTCTTCTACTTATTCCAGTTTTATATTTCATTTGTCTGTTGATTAGTTTGTCTAATTCTGTATTTTTCCTTTTTAACAAAGTTGGTTCACTCTGTCATGGTTGTCAATTTTTTCTCTCCAGAATCTATCTTGTATATTCATAAGTCTACCATTCGTCCAGGCATTGAATATCACTACCTCATCTGATCTGCTACTTCTATTATGTATTTAGAGATTCCTGATGAAATCCAAAGAAGAATCTGTAATTTTATTGGCCCTAACCTGGCATCTCGACTTTGGTGATTTTCCCAGTGTCATCATATAGCTTCCCTGTGTCTTTTCTATAAATATTTTCATGGTAATTGTTCTAATGAATTTTCCTCCTTGGTAACTAGACTTTATGAATTTAAGCGCACGACTAAATTAGCGAAAAGGTTTCATTATTTTACAATTGAAATAGCTGGAGGTAACCGTAAGTTCTATGCTAATAGTTTCTTCTTTTGAATTTATCACTTGTGCAACTCTCTTCTGCTTTCAAGCTTACCAGTCAAGTTTGGTTCTTAAAAAATTGCAATGTTAATCGTTAGGTTCTGTCTACTTAATTCATGATCTCTGTAATTATCTCCCCTTCTTTTCTTTTTTCTCTTATTCTCTCACACACAATAACCGAGAGCGTCTTAGTAGCTTGATTGGGGGGGGGGGTGATTTTAAAAGATTACGATCTTATTTCTCGACAGTGTTATCAGTTTGCGGGTTGTCTTTGATCACTGACTTTTTTATTGATATTTCTGTATGTTTTCTCAATACCTCTACCCACCCCACTTTTTTTCAGGGTTTTGCCTCTTTGCTATTCATATTTATAATATGTTCTCTTTCATCGCAGTGGGACATATTTTCTCACCTAGAATAATACACACACACACACACCCACACACCACACACACACACACACACACACACACACACACACACACATATATATATATATATATATATATATATATATATATATATATATGTGTACATAAATATATACACATATATATACACACATATATATATATGTATATATATATATATATATACATATTTATACATATATGGATACACACATATATACTTATATATATATACAAACATCTATATATATATATATATATATATATATATATATATATACAATAAAAAATTCAACAGGTAATACATCTAGCATGAAACAACCTGTCGCCTCTGAGTGTTGACTTCAATGTTCACTTTTATATTTATATTTACATACGCTCTATCTCTGATATTGAGCACTTTATCCCATAAATATAGCACATCTTAAGACTATATTTCTTCATATATATATATATATATATATATATATATATATATATATATATATATACTGCGTGCCAAATTATTATCGAGATAACTTTTTATAATATTTCAAAACCGTCCAATCAATTCTCAAACATTTTGGCAACACTGGCCTGCGCAATCACTGAAATTTTCGACCTGATCTGCGCAATGTAAACAAATTGGCGTCATATTTGTTATCAGCACGGTGATTTGCGCGTGCCAAATTATTAGAAAAGTGTAAGAATTTAGTAAAAAGATGGGCCATAAAAGCAGTTTAAGTAATGCTAAAAAGAAAACTATCACCTCAGAACTCTCAAAAGGTAAATCTACCCTAGAAATTTCTAAAATGATAGGGAGGTGTCATCAAACAGTTAAAAAGTTCACCGCTGACCCTACACAAGTACGGAAAAGGGCAGATAAAGGCAAGCCGAGGGTTATTTTACGTCGTCTCATGTCACGACTTAAACGAGTGGCCACGAAGAACCCTGGACTTACCGGTCAAGAGCTTTTCAGTCGCATTGGGGATCCTACTGTGTCTAAAAGTACTCGGTGTCGGTATCTGAGGGAAATAGCAAAACAGTCAAACCTGTATCGAAGCCGTTGACGAGAAATCACATTCAAAATCGATTGAAATGGGCCAAGGACAATATGAAGATTGACTTCTCTAAAGTTTTGTTCACAGACGAAACTCGAGCAACACCTGATGGGCCAGATAGATGGTGCAAAGTCTGGGTAATGAACCGACAGAATCGTCATCAGCGTTTGAGACGCCAACAAGGCGGTGGAGGCATAATGATCTGGGGTGGTATTATTGGAAAAAACATTAGTGGGCCCATGGAGAGTACCAGATGGCGTCAAAATGACTGCTGATGCATACATAGCGTTTATGAATGAGCATCTTGAACCATGGATGAAAAGACAAAGAGTTGCCTTCAGAAGGGCCATTGTTTTTATGCAAGATAACGCTCCCTCACATGCTGCTCACAAGACTACTGAATATTTGAAACAGTTAGGCTTCGACGGACCTCGAAAAATGAAGTGGCCAGCAAATTCTCCGGATTTGAACCCAATCGAAAACCTTTGGAGCATCATGAAGCGAAGACTGTACGCCAACGGATGACAATTCAGGAGTAACGCTGAGTTGTGGGAAGCAATTCTTGTCATATCTCGTGGCATTACAGCAGATGACATCCTACAATTAACAAATTCTATGGATCGTCGACTTCTTCAAGTAATTTCAAAACAGGGAAAGCACATTCCCTATTAATTTGTTTAAAACTGTGCCTTTGTTTGTATCTGTTATTATTTGTTTGATTATCTTATTTATTAGCTTCTTTTGATCATAAACATTCACGTGCAACACTAATAAACGTTTTGTGTGCTCAATTCTGGGATTTTTACTAAACCTTTCTAATAATTTGGCACGGTTAAATCACCATGCTGATAACAAATATGGCGCCAGTTTGTTTACATTGCGCAGATCAGGTCGAAAATTTCAGTGATTGCGCAGGTCAGTGTTGCCAACATTGTGTGAAAATTTTTGTGAATTGATTGGACGGTTTTTGAAATATAAAAAAGTTATCTCGATAATAATTTGGCAAGCAGTGTATATGTATATATACATATATGATGGACTCTCGCATATATATATATATATATATATATATATATATATATATATATATATATATATATATATAGTTTATGAAAAACTAGGTAATCCGTATGGGTAAACAACCTAAGGAGGATAAAATCCAGAGTGCTTAATGTAAATTCAGAGCAAATAATTTAAATAAAAACAGACCACTTTAAGGTTCCATGTAATAAATTATTTCACCACAGCCTTTTTGAAAGGACTGCGAATGACCAGACTTTACTTCCAAACAAAAAATGAAAAGAAAATTTACACATTTTTGACGGGCCGTATTAAACATATGTAAATTAACAGATATTGACACATTTCTGCTAACCCACTCATGCCTTCTCTCTCCCCCCTCACTTCCTCACTGCTTCAAGTCAGGATTGAAACATTTGGCCTCAGTCAGTCAATAGTTTATCTTAAACTATATAATACTGTTGGTAAATCATTTTTTTTCGAAAGGTGTTCAACCGAATGGAACAAAAACATTAATTTTAATTGTAATTTAAAGTTTAGATTTTCGTTCCGAAATTTCTGTGTCGCAAGGAATACATATTTTAAAATAATAATAATAATAATATATAAATATATAAATAAAATATATATATATATATGTGTGTGTGTGTGTGTGTGTGTGTGTGTGTGTGTGTGTGTGTGTGTGTGTGAAGATAGTCCTGTTGATTACGTATGAAGACCTAACAATTTATCACCTCGAACTGAGCAGCCAGATTCTCACATATGCTGTGATTATCGCGGTGAAAGCTCGCGCTGGACCAAGCCCACTTGTTGGAAGAATAGTATACAGAGAACCGGTTTAAAGCGTGCGATAAAGTCCTCTAGACGGCCTTCCTTAGGTTTTAACTTCCAAGTTTTATTTCTCCTAGAGGACTGCCAACCAAGGCTGAAACCTCAATTTAAAGAACTTTTAGATCTGATACATGAACTATTGCCATCCTCTGTCTCATACGTAAGACTTTAGTAACACAGCCTCTGTGCATCTACTAATGTCTTTTTTTTTTCGCTTACCTCGTCGTCTTCGCTTAATCCATGGATACATTTCACTTCTGTGGCCGATAACTATATAAAAAACCCTGTTAATATTGTTATATTGTCTTATGTGCGCTTTTGTTAGATTACCTGGAGTATAATATTCTTTTGTTAGATTACCTGGAGTATAATATTCTGTTTATATTCTGTAAATAACTATAAAATCGTATTTTATTTAACTCTTTAATAACGAAAGATTCCATAAAGTTGTAACTTTTGAAGATTTCGGTGTAGGTTCAAATTCAGCATAAAGTCGAAATAAAAATATTTTTTTTAATAATATATTTAATGGCTACCATTTCTTTCGTGAAATGATGAAGAAATTTAGAAATTTTTACATTCCTTTTGGTAGATAAATCTCCAGTAATAAGATAATCTCTAATCCGTGAAGCGATTATCACTTAATCCGACATTCCAAGTGCAATATTTTGTTCCATTTGCACAGATAAGCAATTTTCTCAGATTAAAATACCTGAGGCAGCAAAAGCACCAAAAAGAAGCCTTTTTAACAATTTTTTTTATCAAGACACCTGTCGTTTCAGTTTTCTTTTGTCATAACTAACAAAGGATATATCAACCATCGACGCTGACCACCACTAATATCGGCAAAGGAAATATTTTATTTTTTATT